TTTTGGTTTATAGTCGGGCTGACTCTTGTCGCATACAAATGATGAATCACTTTGGGACGTAATTCTGACCAAAAGAATGATTGCTCAAATGTAACTCGCTGATGTATGGTCTTATTCAAACTCCCACATGTCCTCCATGTCTTCACTTGGATAGTCGGTGTGTGAAATAAGCAGACCAGTAGCCCCGTGTCACTGTGATTAATGTTGTCCTAGCTCTATGAAATCAATACATTTTGAATTGCTTCAGTAGTATAGGATTTCTCACACTGTGAGCTTTGTATTCGTCATACATATTTCAAAGGAAATAATATTGTTGAAAACTATAGATTTCACACAGTTAAATTCCAGTATTTTCCAAATTTTACGAGTCGGTCAAAAAGCTAGTGGTCGGGTGGTGCAGTGGATAGCACACTTGCCTTTCACCAAGACAGCAGGGCTTGATTCCCTGATTGGATAAACCACATGTTTTTATGCAGGTACACTGGGTTCCTCCCTCATTAAAGCCCCCTTCAAGCTACCATCTGGGCAAACAAGTGATTAGGCAAAATACACCACACTTTAGTGTAAGCACGAAAATCTAGCGATTGGTAGGGAAACCGGAAACATGTATATTTTCATGGCCTCGGTATAAGATTGCATTTTACTTTTTGATAAACTAAGCCTTTTGGGTTTATGGTCAGGCCGACTCTTGTCACATACAGATGATGAATCACTTTGGGACGTAATTCTGACCAAAAGAATGATTGCTCAAATGTAACTCGCTGATGTATGGTTCTTATTCAAACTCCCACATGTCCTCCATGTCTTCACTTGGATAGTCGGTGTGTGAAATAAGCAGACCAGTAGCCCTGTGTCACTCTGATTAATGTTGTCCTAGCACTATGAAATCAATACATTTTAAATTGCTTCAGGAATATAGGATTTGTGAGCTTTATATTCGTCATACACATTTCAAGTGAAATTTTGTACATAATCTGCTGCAGTATCTTTGTAAAAACATGTATATTGTTTTGGCCTTGGCATAAGATTGCATTTTGCTTTTTGATAAACTAAGCCTTTTGGGTTTATGGTCGGGCTGACTCTTGTCACATACAGATGATGAATCACTTTGGGACGTAATTCTGACCAAAAGAATGATTGCTCAAATGTAACTCGCTGATGTATGGTTCTTATTCAAACTCCCACATGTCCTCCATGTCTTCACTTGGATAGTCGGTGTGTGAAATAAGCAGACCAGTAACCCCGTGTCACTCTGATTAATCAATCCATTTTGAATTGCTTCTGTAGTATAATAAAGAAAATTAGTTTCTTATTTCGCACACTGTGAACTTTGTATTTGTGATAAATATTTCAAGTAGAATTTTGCAACAACAACAAAATCTGCTGCAGTATTATTGTAAAAACAAAGATCCTAGAGTAACATTATTATTAAAATCAATTGCTGTATAGATCTCTAAATGTCGCAAATGATAAATCACAATGGGTAAGTGTCCACACAGTTATCAATCTACAGTTAGATTTTATTGGTCCTTCTCAGTTATATTGTTGAAAGTAGAAAACTATCGACATCAAAAAGTTAAATTCCAGTATTTCCAAAAATGTTTACAATTGAAAGTCCATCAAAAAGCTAGTGGGCTTGATTCCCTGATCAGATGTGAAATGTTATGGGGTGACCTGCCCAACTACATTGGTTTTCTGCAGGTACTCTGGTTTCCTTCGACAGTAGAACCCCCTCTTCTGCAGGTACTCTGGTTTCCTTCGACAGTAGAACCCCCTCTTGATTAGTATAAGTTGATAGAAATTGTTTCACAATTGTTATTAAATAAATAAAATCTAATTTTAAAAACATGAATAGGACTTGGGATATATAGATTTGTCACTGTCCATACCTATGATGAATCACAATGGGACGTAATTCTGACATACAGAATGATTGGTAACATGTGTTTTCCTGATTTGTGGACAGGTAGCTATAGCGTATTTATTCCATTTTTACCAGCGAAATATTGAGAATTATTCATTCTATAAAAGTGATATATAAGAAACTAAAACAATATGGAAGGTTAACTGCATTTCTTTAATTACTATTACTCCCAAATGAGGAGTTATATATGTATGTGGCTGAATAATGGTTTAATTACTGAATACACAGCTTAAATAATTTGTGTTCTAATGTTGTTGGTTAACTGTATTTTACAGATGTAGATGAAGCATCAAAGAAGGAGATTAAGGACATCCTCATCAGCTATGATCGAACGCTACTGGTCGCCGATCCAAGACGATGCGAGCCCAAAAAGTTTGGAGGACCTGGTGCACGTGCACGTTACCAGAAGTCTTACCGTTAAATTTTTTGTACATTATTGGCCAATAAATGTAGCGACCATTATTGTCTCCTGTCATCTTTTAAATACAATTTCACCATCTTTATCTTTTGACATGAGCTGGTAACCATGTGTTCATCCCTTATATGCTGTATGTTTGGCTACTTTGAGCACATGATTTACTTTTTGGATAATTTCAATTTGGAATAGCACAGAAGTGTGACATCACATCGTCTTAACTGTTAACTAATGCGAGAAACGAAATATTCAATTGGGAAGTTTATTTTGGATTATAAGTAGCTAAACCTTGCAAGTTATGCTAAAAAGAACAAGTATATAGACATTGTCCTCGTTGGATATCTATTATCTAAGTGATGTACCACAAGTCTTTCACATTACATTATTTTCCAATTAGATTCCATGTTAATTTACTGTTCGGGAATTATCCAATGGTTCTTTGTAAATATTGATAAGATTACATGTGGCTTTTTTATGCACCCGCCATAAAATGTCACTTGCTATATATAGAAACTTCATTCTTTCATAGATTTTGGTCAAACTTTATGCAAAGGTCCAGTATGAGCATACTTAGGACATTGTTGTGTTTCAGGGTTCCAATGTCAAGGTCACTGTTGCTATATATATAGGAAATCATCAACTGATTCAATTTAAACACTTGGCAACTTCATTCAATATGTTATGGAGACAGTAATAACATGAATATTAAAATCAACTTTAAGTGTAGTACCTTGTGTGTGTGCATGTTTCAGGGTATCGAGATCAAAGTGGTTGTCACTTTTTAAAGAACACAAACTAATTTCACATGGCAGCGGGGCATTCATGTCTTGCACTTTGACATTTTTTAGTTTCATTGAACAATCACACTTTGATTCATGTTAAATTGTGCCATAAAAAATGTTTTGGTCAATCAACTCGACATGAATCTTTTTTCTAGCTGGTGGCAAGTTTCTTCCCATGTAGGTAAGCCTAACATGAGAAAATACTATCTATTATTTTCTTCTAGAAATGGTGCAAAATCCAAGACAAGTGTCAGATGGCTTTATCTTTTCCCTTCGGTCTGATGCAAAATTGAAACATGCACAACTGGGGGCCAAGGGAAACCTATGTATTGAATTTGTGAAACCCTTGGGACTAAGAGAAATATATCGGTAAGCAGTTTAACTGTCAAAATCCAAGTAGACCGCCAGCTTGTTTATTTCCGATTAGTTTGAAAATTAAATATGCGTATTTAAGGACAAAGAGAAACTTGGAGATCTGTCCAGTTTTTCTTCCGAAATAGCAACAGCAGAAACTACCACCTATTGATGGTACTTGGGCTAAAAAAACCCCACATGGGATAGAAAATAGCCTCCAATTTATCCAATAGAATTTATTGAAGCGACATGACACCATAAGAAATCATGGCAATTAATTCTGTATCGACCAGTGATCTGTGAAATTTAGTTTGATACATATGTTTACAAGGATGCGAGGTTACTAAAGGAATGAATCATTGCTTTTACACTGAAAAGTAATACTGAAATCTGGAAATTTAAATCTGATTAATTGCTCTTGGAAAAGGCTTCTTAATTAATTACCTTCACCCTTAGTTTCATGTTTTTAACAAGAGATCCCAGAGGGATCTTTGCGCCCACCTTTGTACCATCTTCATTAGTTCTTTGTCAGTTCGATCTTTCTCTTCTTACCTCTGATCTGTTTGATCGAGTCATGTTAACAGTAAATGCACCTTGAGGTAGCTTTCGATCTAAACTTAATACTGATGTGTATGAAAGCCAACCTTCAAAGTAAGTTTGTCATTTCACATATTTACTAGCACAGTACTTGATGTGAAAGAAATAGAAACGATCATTGAAATATGAGAAAAATCTGTTTAGTTCATCTTTTAATCCATTTTGTTATTATGATCAGTCTCAAAATATAACATGCGCAACGAGAGATCAAGGGGAACCTACATATAAAATTTGAGAAAGATCCCTCTGGTACTTCTTCAGAAATAGCGATAACAATCTTTCACTATCAAAACTAAATATCAAAATCAAAGATGGCTGCCTTTCGGTCATGTTGTTTATCCAATCAGTCTCAAAAAATGCCCTGCACAGCTAAGGACCAAGGGGAACCTACATATAAAATTTGAGAAAGATCCCTCTGGTACTTCTTGAGAAATAGTGATAACAAACTTTCACTATCAAAATCAAAGATGGCTGCCTGTCGGCCATGTTGTTTATCCGACCAGTCTCAAAAGTTGCCCTGCACAGCTAAGGACCAAGGGGAACCTACGTATAAAATTTGAGAAAGATGCCTCTGGTACTTCTTGAGAATTACCGATAACAAGAATTGTTTAAGGACGGGATGACGGACAGACCACAGACTTGGGGTGATTTGAATAGCCCACCATCATCTGATGGTTGGCTAAAACTAAAGTCCCTACTCCATATGGAGCCTCAGACTCCATTTTCAATCATGCATTTGCACTAGCTCTATCGCACAGAATATCGGACATTGTTGCACCCATAAGGAAAGATAGAATTTCGAAATCAATGAGCCAAAAGATGGCCATATCACTACCATCTCTTGCAATTAAATTAACTGAAAAATTTCCAAAATGAAGAAATTGATTAAAATCAATGTCTATTGGAAAAAACCAACAAAATTCTCAAATCTTATAAATAACATTTATTGTAAATGTTGACATTTTAATACAATGTATCAAGCGTTGTACGTGTTTCATCTGAACAATAACTTTTACTCGAGGAGACAAACCCTTGGGGAATAGCTAGTTGACAAGTAACCTAATGTATGGTATGAAGCAGAAAACTTGAGCCTTCTAACTAACCATCTACACTCTGCTGTTGTAGCTATATATATGGTACCTAAGGCTCGGCCTTTCTTAAAATGACCAACATTCTTGAAATAGATCATTTTGGCAAAATAAATTAATGCAATGGAACAAGGTTCATCCATCTTGTATGAAACGGGGAAACTATGATTATTTACATTGTAACATAGATTTCGTGAAAAATTACAGAAAGTAGCCATCAAATTTTATTTCTTTCGATGTCAATACTGGGCATATTGTGATAAAACAATGCAAAGTTGGTCAAATTGGGTTGTACCTAATGTAACAGTGGAAATCAACAAAGGGCCATAATCAAATTAGAAATCTTGGATGCAACAAAAATTATCAAAATTGCACCGTCACAGTTCACATCTTAAGTACATATTACAAACATCTGTTATTGTTTCAGATATTGATAGTAAGATTGAGCAAACAATTTCATCCCGATGAAACTAGCTAACTAAAAATATATAGCAGACATTTGCATCAATCAACTATTCCACACACATGCATTTCTCTTGAACTTGTTCAGAATGAGGGATCAATTCACTTCCATCTACAAGTCTTCGAAGAGACATTTTCTGATGTTTGCCTGTGAAGCTGCCAGCTAACTTCCAGGTACAAAACAATAAAAGCAATGCATCAAGTCAAACTAGTACATGTATGACGGAGAATTAACTTATAAAATATATGGATGTTATAACTACTAGAATCCTCCTACAGGATTTGTAAATTTGAGGCTCTATATTACACAAGGCTGCACAGAGGTACTTAGTTAGTCCAGACATTGTAGTTTCCAAAAAGCAAACCTAGGGTAAATTAACTTTTGCCAATATTACTTGTATGACATGTAAAAGTTCATGTCACACCCCCTGTGTTTGGGTGAAATATAAAGTAAAAAGTAGACAGATTTTCCAATCCACACATTAACTAGTGGATATGTCTTTGGGGTGTGCTATCTACTTTAAAAGAGGTTATACCTAACAGACTGCACACCAGTTTATAGTGTGTATACAATCTTACAGCCTGCACACCAGTTTATAGTGTATAAAATCTTACAGCCTGCACACCAAATTATAGTGTGTATAAAATCTTACAGCCTGCACACCAGTTTATAGTGTGTATTAAATCTTACAGCCTGCACACCAGTTTATAGTGTGTATACAATCTTACAGCCTGCACACCAGTTTATAGTGTGTATAAAATCTTACAGCCTGCACACCAGTTTATAGTGTGTATTAAATCTTACAGCCTGCACACCAGTTTATAGTGTGTATACAATCTTACAGCCTGCACACCAGTTTATAGTGTGTATACAATCTTACAGCCTGCACACCAGTTTATAGTGTGTATTAAATCTTACAGCCTGCACACCAGTTTATAGTGTGTATACAATCTTACAGCCTGCACATCAGTTTATAGTGTGTATTAAATCTTACAGACTGCACACCAGTTTATAGTGTATAAAATCTTACAGCCTGCACACCAGTTTAGTGTGTATTAAATCTTTCGGACTGCACACCAGTTTATAGTGTATACAATCTTACAGACTGCACACCAGTTTATAGTGTGTATTAAATCTTAAAGACTGCACACCAGTTTATAGTGTGTATACAATCTTACAGCCTGCACACCAGTTTAGTGTGTATTAAATCTTTCGGACTGCACCCCAGTTTATAGTGTATACAATCTTACAGACTGCACACCAGTTTATAGTGTATAAAAATCTTACAGACTGCACACCAGTTTATAGTGTATACAATCTTACAGACTGCACACCAGTTTATAGTGTGTATAAAAATCTTACAGACTGCACACCAGTTTATAGTGTTTACAAAACCTTACAGATGCTTTACTTAATGTAATACAGGTGTTGAATGAAATCTAAATAACACATCATTAAGATTGTTTTATATCTTACTAGTATGCAACTAAATTAATTAAGGGAGACACTGGTAAACTCATATTTTTTTTACTGTTGTGCAACAAGCTAGAGCAAGTTTTTTGTTTTACCTAACACTGGTGTGCTACCTTCAACTTTTATGTAATATTAAGGAGACACTGTCTTGTTTGTGATGTTTTGCATTGTTGTTCTACCTACCTTATTAAGAAGACATTAGTTAGTTATTGTCCACTACTGTGGACTACTCTGTAATATGCATATTACATGGGACTTTATGGAACTCAGTTCTTACTTTTTGCACTCAGAATAAGTGTCAAGGAATGTTAAGTTTCATCTTCTAGGTTTACGCATCCAAGAAATATTTCCATATGATCAAAGTCTGGACAAACAAAGTTCCACTGTACATGCATCATAGCACCAAAGTTTGTCCAACATAAATATTTTCATTAAGAATAATATACATCACTCTGGTTACATCTCGCATACAGTAACACATTCTTCTGCATTTAAACTGCCTACCCCCTAAGCACGTTTATTACAATAAGACTGAAAAGTAATCAATATATTTCATTTATTTTGTTAGTTTCAGTATTAAATTCTGATTCAAATTTATGCTATGATTTGCATCTTTCTAATCTGCATTGCACTATTTTTAAAGGTTTTAAATGTCAAGTTTTGAAACCAAGTTTTATTATACAACCTTGGTCTCTAGGTGTACATAAGGTCACTTGATTCCTGGTAAGAACTATTTCCTGGTCAATTATGTTAATTTTCTTTCCTTGTTGATACATTTCAGATTCCATAATATTTTCAATCATCGTAGATTTGGTCCCTTGGCTTACACCCTGATTTTTATTATGTACATGTACACCATTGTATGTGCACTAGGGATTGGGAAAAACAATTAAAGGTGTTTATTTTCTTAAATTATTGAACAGTACACCATAAATGCCAAAAAACTGAAATGATACTATCGGTTCAGAATTCTGTTATTTTTTTTTATATAATACATGTACCTTAATACAAAACAAACAAATGTCAATTCAGTTTTGAATTCCACACAGTACATGTTGAATAGGTAAGTAAAAGTAAATTTTCTATCAAGAAAATTGCACTGCACACTGAACTGAAAATTAAACACTTTAATTTTTCATATCATAGATACCCATACAGATATCGTTTAACATCAAGGTTTAGAACTGTCAATTCATATTTTTCTCAGAATAGACATTTCTACAGTAATTACAAATGTATATTCCACTTTCTCATGCAACAGCTAATACTGGAATTTAGTCAATATACATCCAATAAAATTTGCAGTTAATAACCTCTAGGTGGTTTATACAACTATTAAAGGTGTAGGCACTGTACGCATATTGTAACCAGCTGTAGATATCTGACTATTTTTCAATAAACTTTTTATTTCCATTGTTGATGTAATTCTTTTGTGATGTCTAAATGAACAACGTAAAAAAACCCAACCAGGATTGTTTGCGTGAAATGCTGTTGAATATCGATTCTGTTATCAAAAGCTATCCCTTTAGTTCTTACCTTGTAGATCTCACAAATTACAATTGAGGAAAAAATTTGTAGGTAAAACTGAATTAAGTGCTATTTTCATATAAATATGAAAGCCAACAATACTGATCCCTAGTAGAATATGCTCTGGTGCGATAAACACTGATGCCAGTATACACAATATTGACCTCAGCAAATATGCACCGAGAATCAATCAAATAATACTTTGAATACTGTAGTGATATATTTTTGTATTCTTTCATCGAAGTATGACATTTCTTTGACTTTGCACTTATTACACATTTGACTTCAACAGGACTATAGCCATTTAATACAAATCTGTTGTTGAATTGAAAAAATGCACCACATGAATTTTTAGGACATGGAAACACAAAAATTAATTCTCTGTTTTAATATGATTTATCATTTGTTAAATGTGATTCGTTCATAGCTGAATGTACCATGAAGTGTCAGGAGAGCAAATTTTTCAGATACACAAGGAAATTGAACTTCGCAGAATATCAGCATGTGGGCATCAAAACTGTGATCTTTTGAAAATCTAAGAATTGGCATTAACCAACAGATATTTTTTGGATACCAAGTATGTATACAAATTTTAGCCAATTGCAGTCGACCTGTAGAAGTTTCAGTTGCCACAGGCCTGTGCTTGTGTCCAAACACGGCATAGCAGCTGGGACATAATCTCCCTTACACTGTTTCATTAGCTGATCTCCGACTAAGGAGTTGCCACAGTGTATTCATTTTGTGTGTATTAGGAACAATGGTTTTCATGCATTCACTTGTTGAAAGAATGTGCATGTTTGTAAAGCCTAAGATTTATAAAATAAGCCAATTCCAATAAATATATGAAAAAAAATGCTTCTTGACAACAATATTTAAACTAGATGGTTACACCAATTATAGAACTAGATTAAAACTATTTAACAATCAAAGATTATAATGTGTATATATAAATAACAAAATGAAAAAAAAAACGTGTATAAACTGATTGTAAGTCAACTGAAGCTCTGCATGATGACCATCCTTTATGGTGCTGGTGAAAGTAACTCAATTCTATCAAATATTCTAAAGAAATTCCATCCAGACTCTATTGAATTGTATAGCACTATCAATCTGTCACAGTTTCACTTCCAATGAAAATTATTTAGCATTTTCACTTGAACTCTTTCAATAACTTCTTCACAGAATCTGATGCAACTTCATCGTATGATTGTCCTTCTAGAGTTTTGCCATCTGGAGATGCGCCCTGGAAATAAAGTTAAGTGTAGTTACAATTGGTGTTTAGAAATTTATCAATAACAAGTAATTTTTTTAATGAATATTTAAATATGATACTGTTTAACACTACATTTTTTTTATTACTGTCTTGTTTTTGATAAGAATTACGAGGAAGGCTGTTTTTTTTAAAAATGTCATTTTCAGTTATTTAAAAAGATGAATATACATACCCGTAATTAAAAAAAGGAAATACATGTATTCATAAAATCATACTTTTATCTGTGGTAAAATTATTTTTCCACTTGATAAAATGAACAACATATATATAGATGATCTCTGCAGGTTCTGTTTATAAACTTACCTTTGCAGGTTCTGTATGTCAACTTACCTTCTCTAACAGAATTTTTACACACTCCACATGGTCCTCATATATTGCTGCCAATATTGGAGTTATATCGTATTTATCTTTAACCTAAAAAGAAACCCAAGCATCACTTCAGTTGTTGCCAACACACCAAATGTTTGGATGTATGATATTAATGAATGTAACATTAGTTGCAGCAGATTTGTGACATAATACCATAAATGTGTGTGCTTATCTTTATGAAATGTCCACTAATTTCTTATTGTTGGCATCACAGAACTGAGGCTTAAAGCAATGTTAACATGTCCCGTTTTCCCTTGTTGGTAATTTTACATGGATTTCACAGGGAACATTTATAGGATGGCAGCTACTGGTGGTACGCTTCTTACCGTTCCTAAACACCTGGTTTTACTTGCTTTTTTTTGTAGGGTTCATATGGTGTCTTCCCTTTCGCTTCAGTGTTTCCTTAATCCCTGTTGTCTCAGTTCCTTTTTTTTGTTGATTTGCATTTCTTTGGTGTCAATTTTGATTTCTAATTTCGGCTGTTCTTGTTTTTGACAGCATTAAATTTGTTTTATTATACTTTTATATCTTCATTTAATTTTTCAGAATGTTTTTTTTCTTTGTACTCGAATAAAGCTTAAAACTGGATAACAGTCAACTATGAGGAGCATTTTCTTTCTTTTTAGACTTACTACACTACTTACATTTACATCTGCACCCTTTTCCAGTAATAATTTTAGAACCTCCACCTGTCCATAGTCTGCAGCAAAATGCAGGGGAGCTCTGTTCTTTACAATTTCGTTTACACTGGCACCCTAGGAACAAAAAATGCAAATTGCCACGATTAATATTTTCATTCTGTCATACATGAATTGTATCTCAAATCCCAAAATTCTTTATAGTAGAAGTCAAAGCTTGGATATTACTGCACTACACCTAAACTTATGCTTCCTATTTGTAGGGGAATGCCTAGACAAGAACTGTTTGATGTTTCTTGTATGGTATGTTGGTGGTTCTTAACTTGCACTGTTAGATTTAAAGAGTGACTTTTATGTTTCATGAAACTAAGCTTTTTTTTATATACATGACTTTCATTTGGATATTTGGGCTGAAAATTAAAAAATAACACCTGCTTGTTAACACTGGACGCTTATTCAAACTGAAACTGTGTATCCAATATCCATGTTTTTCTTAAACCTGAAATTGCTAACTGAATACACAGTAGTATACAGTACATAGCTGACATGGACATATCATGGTCATATAGTATAAGTGTGGATAGATTTTAGTGAGAACTCCATTGAAGTAGCAACAACACAGTGACACTGTTAACCCATGCAATATTTCCCATCAGTGCCAGTTAAGTAAGTTACATCACTATTGCATTAATAATGTTGTTACCAAGTATAAATTGAATTATTACTGGATCCTAGACCTATTCATGAAGACGAACGTAGTTGAATTTAATTCAACTATATCCTCATGAACACTAACTTCTTTTTAACATGTCAGAAGTTTGACCACATCCTCCAATCCACATCCAATACAGACCATGTCACACCCTTATTGGTTTCTGCTTACTCCTATAACTATAACATAAGAAGCTGCTGGTCAGACATATTTTATTGGATAATTATGATTATGCTGATTGCAATGGCACTTGTCAAAAGTATCTCACCATATTCCATCTCACATTTTTGGAATAGCTTTTAATGTGCTCCTACTAAAGCACATTGTACAAACCTTTAGAGCATTGATCCACTCAGTGTTTTAAGGACATACTGGGAATGGGAATGAGTGTGATAAGGGTGTAAGTAAAGCCCATTTGCCAGATTCAAAATTTTGTAGCGTTTTTAAGTGTACAAGTTACATTTAGTGTGCTAGTGACTTTCTCAATGACTAATGAGTCTAGCCCGAGTTTCTTCTAGCATCGAGACCTTGACACAAACTTAAAAAGTTTGCGTCAAGAGGAAACTCGGGCTATGATGAGGCCTATTCTGGAAGATAAAATAACATTTCGAAGACACTGGTCATGTACATAAACACAATTGTTTGGTTGGTATTTTTGTATGATTTTTTTTTTATCCTTTTGAAATGTTAGATAGTACAGTACGATATAACTATGTATTGTAATATAGAGCCTCAAACTTTTTATCATTATGCCCACCCCTCCATTCAGCTTATGGAATTACTTAACGTCTCATGACACTCATTTTAAATCACAACCTAGATTTCCATCTAGCTTCTTTTTTCATGAGTTGGCAAAACTATCGTGATCAGAACTTATAAAACGGTGGCGGTGTGGACTGCAGTCAGTGATGATTCATCGTGACTTCATTGGTTCTGTCATCGACTGGCGAATAATTGAGAACTTAACTGTACACAGGCCTACCTTGCTCAATTGTTCTTTGACAGAATTGATGTCACCATTTTGTATAGCCCATTGAAGACCTCTTTCCTCGGACATTTTCCTTAAATGTACGGGTTATCTTGCTTCATTAACAAAGTAAGAAACCGGAAGTAATCTCACCCTTCGAGCAGTCTTTTTGTAACGAAAGTTTTGATTAGCTCACATATGCTGCACTTAGCCAATCAAAATAGTTTTGTGATACTGAACATTCAAGGCTCAAGATTTGATAGGAGTTTTATCAACCTTCCCCATCATAAATAGATCAAGTTTCACTTCATTATACAAACAGCTAGCTAGATCCATATAATACACAGGCATGGTCTGGAAAGAGCGAAGGCCGTGTCTTCAAAAAACACCAGTATTTATAGAACTATGCCGGGGCTGACTAACGTTTCAGCAGAGACGTAACTTATATCATATAACTTATTATACAGTACGTCTCTAGTTTAAGTACATGTAGGCCTAGATATAATTACAGACATGAAACATGCCCAGAACAACATAGTTTCATCAGAAATTCAAACTGTCATTCTAAATAATTCTTTTTCTTATGGAAACTATAATATGCCGTCATTTCTGATGATTTTTCACTAAGCGTGTTTTAAAAGATAACACGAATGTTTTGTTATATTATTATATGATAACTGAAACATTAATAAAGGGGATGCTTTTTAAATAGAATTGAGAGAGCAACGTTTAGTGTTACTCTACAAAATAGTTCACGGCCTCGTGGCCATACCCGCTGACTCGCTATTCCAGTAAATACCAGACCATCTAGAACACAGCACAGTAAATCCATCAAAGTGCTTAGTTGTAACACCGACATATATAAGAACTCATTTGTACCATCTACCATAAAAGACTGGAATGCACTACCATCGCACATAATAATCAACTGTAAAACAACGGAACAATCTAAGGCCACTATAGTATTGTGACCAAAACTGACTAAGATTGATACAGCGCACTCACTCACCCTGGATACACTTTGCTCAGTAGTGAGTGAGCTAAATTCCAGTAAATATACAGATACAGGTGTGATGTTTGAAGACATCAACAGTATCAATGGGAACGAAAGACAAATGTTCTGGTTTTATTCTGTATACAATTTTTTTTGTAAGTGTGGATACGCACTTTATGGGGGATCGACTACCAGCTAGCATGGCTTAATCACGGGCACCCTTGATATTTTAAGTCTTGAGCAAATATTCACAACTTGAGTATTTTGGCAGTTCAGTTGGCTGTGCGGGGCACTCACACGAAAAAATGACAAGGAAAACTCAATAGTTTTAATAAAAGGGAGAAATTTACTTTTTTTTCGAGCGTAGAAAAAAACCCATCACTTTCTAACAGTAGTATTGCAAACTTTCTGTAATCTGAATGGCTACTTATTTATAAATGTCATACGTATTACATAATGTCAACTTCACATGATTGTATACATACAATAAGCCTATAGCATCGACTTTCGTAATGCTGTTATAAACGAATAATCAATTTTTTGAAATAGCCATTGAAACCGGAGAGTTTCCGAAAATCCATGCAACACATAGAAAGTCGTAAAATTGGCGGGGAAATCTTACATTGCATGCTTTATGACGTCATATTTATGCCGATTCCATCGTGTTTCTGCTCATGAATATGGCTGACATTTCAGAATGCAACTACACATCACACTTTGACCAAGTGCTTGAAATTAAAGAAGCTGTAATTTGTGCCCGATGTACCCCCTTAAATTGCTGACAATAAGAAAAAACGGCCAAATGGCTGAAATGTGCTAACGATATATATATATGTATATATAAAGCATGGTAACGTTTATTGTGACTCAAGAATGCTATCTGGGTTACTTAATTAAAGGGGACGAGACCTTGGTGTATTACTAGTACTTTGAACCCCAGAGACGCATTCGTGAAAAGCAATGGTGGTTGGAAGATGCAAGAAAAGCGACAAGGATTGAAAGTTGTGTAGATCTACGCCACTTTCTCGATTCTAGTTGGCATGTGGTTCAGATACTAGTATCGTGCAATGAAGAGTAAACTATCACTTCCAATTTTTACTGAAGCCTGTCAGAAGATTCTACATGAAAAAAAGTACAAGTAAAGACTTGAATGGCATCACAAAGCTACTTCACGACAATGCTTCCTACCACAAAAATGATATTGTTGTGTATTTGAAGCAAGTATAAGGAAGTACAAATTGACCTCCCACCTTATTCACAAGATCTATCTAAGTACTGTGACAACTTCATGTTTCCGTTACTTAAGAAAATGCTCATTGGGAAACTTTAAGAATTACCTCTAGGAATGCTCAAGTTGGTAATGCAATCTAGTCTGACCAAGGGGAGACAATCGCACAGCGTTTACGTCATGGATAGCGCGATTCTGCTAAGGAAGATACTTAGACAGATTAAGCTATATACAGCAGACTTATGATTTAGTTTAAACTGTATTTATTTCTGGTAATATACAATACATTATATTTACAATATATAATTAACAACGATTCGGAAACAAGTACTAAATACTTATGCAATGTCCGTTTCGTTACGTTAGATCACGGACTTAGATAACTTATTCTAATTCCGTGGTTAGATATACGATACTGACAGCAGATATAGTAATCTAATTTCGTAGAATGGCAGAAATATAAAGGGGATTAAGATTTCTGACACTTTAGTGTGAAATAATTTATTGAATGGCCCACGCAACGTATCTGGTAAACGAAACTTTTTTATGTCAGCATTAAGCTCATGCACTCAGTATTCATTGTTCAACAACTTTATACACCAGCTTTATCGTGCAAGCTCTAAACAAAAAATCTCTACGGCAATGACGGAAAAACCACAAATATGTCGGCGGATTTATATACGATATAAGACACATTTAGTCAATATACCAAGATATTTTAAACTTTTGTTCAACGATAATACATGCCTGTATAATGGGTGTTTCTTTTATTAACGTATTTGGCAAGACATTTGCCTCAACACTCCGATGCATTTTTTTTTCTGAATTTTCTTTTTAAAGATGGTATCAAATGCTCCATTATATTTACATGGGATGGTAGCAGTTTCCTAATAATACACTTCTATATCTCTATTTCTCATAGCTTTTTATTTCATCCAACTTAAATATGAAACTTTTTTCATGCGCATTATTCTACCTTCTAACATGCACAGACGCGCACGCTGCACATAATACTCGCAAGAGGGTGTTGCAGTATGGATAGGGAGATCAATATACAATTAATATATGATATAGGTCTACCTAGAGGAGATTTACTGTGTTACTATAATTTAAATATTGTCTATTTAGAGTCGATGGAGAGCTTTTGCCCAAAGTGACCCAATATTTTGTTACAGTTGGAAGGTAAGGTTGGAATTATCTTGATGTTTAAAGAGAAATTTTAGACAGTATAGGGCTTCAATTCAACTCTTGGTAAAAAGACAAATATCGGTACATAAACGTTTCTACAGCATTATTTCTACACCATATACACACAAAAAAAGATTAAAGCAAAGACATTCCACATTCATGTATGGGTTTTGTAAAAGAAATGGTGCATAATGAACAAGGATTGCCTCGCCTTAACCAATGCATGTATTTTTAATAAGAGTTTCATCAGTTGGAAATGTGTAATATCGAAGTTTACTTTATACATAAACAATGTACGTATTATCATGCTATGGCAGTAATAGCTTAACAAATGGACCTGTCGGTCTGGAAACGTTACGACACTTTAATACGTGCATTGTTTGTGTATAAAGTAAAACCTTGATATTAATGCATGTATTGAAATCTAAATAAGGCTTTCATTTATGTTAAGATGTACAAGAAGTATTCATAATGATTGATGAAGGCACTCTTTGACATCGTGATTCTATACTAGGCCTACGCTTGTTGTCCGCTCGTGGTGTATGTGAACTGCGATGCCTACCAGCTCTGTATTGCTTTGAATCGTATGAGTGTTCTTGACTTTCTGTAGAGGTCTGGTCCGGTTTCAGAAAACTTTAGAAGTGCTGTTTTCCATTCTTTTGACAAAATGGCCATATAGTACTGTAAACAGGTTTACTTTGATTGGCTTTCTCAATCTACAATCAACATTTCCTAACAGTGTGTTTTATTTAGTGATTATTTTATCAACAACATAACCAACAGGTACGGGTGACTACTAAATGTATAAAAAAGCATAACGATTTAGATTTTCCGATCGTTAACTTTCTCTTTCCTGATAGTTACATCCCTGTCCCCCTATCTACAGTGTTTTCCCGTTGACGCTGATTCCGTATTCAAGAGCTTTCTTCGAATATTATGATTTCCGGGATAACTGTCGAACGCTGACTGACCGACCGACAAAATAAACTTACAGCACACGGAAGTTTTTAGACAAATACGCTATTTCGTAGATGTTAGTGTATGAAGGTCGACGCGTTTTTATTATGATCATAAATGCGTATAAATGGTTAAACATAGACTATTTCTTATATAAAAACTGTTGACTTTTCAAATATTTAATATACTCCATACCAAACTGAGGAACGCCGATGATCTCTCATTATGAGAGTTTTGGTTTTAAAGAGAGATGAAAAGATATGTTAATATGTTGTGTTTTATTATTTTGTACCATATTTTGTGAGGGGCACAACAAAAGCAAAAAAGAAATATACTGTAATTGAAATTATGAAAATGATTGAGTTCCTTGTTGATAATATCTTGAGGGCATCGATGATTAGAATAATCCTTGCGATATGTTATAGCATCATTTTTACTGCTCGACTGGAGAATTGTTTTAAGGTCGAGTGTCAACTAAACAGCTGAACATGCTAAGCTGTTATATATCCTGTGAACGTGTACATACAAACTAGCACGTTCCTAGTACATGACACGTGCATGCATATGCCGGTGTCAACAAAACAACAGACAACAAGACAAATGGATCAATGATTTTCTGGTTTGTTTTTAAATTAATGATTGTGAAGCCAGCTGTACTATTAGCAAATATAAGATATTTTCCGTGATCTGATAGAAAACAACCAACGATACTTCGGACGTATGGGGCTACCACAGGATCAGGTCAGGAGGAAAAGGCACACAATACGAATATCCTTGTACAATTGCCAAAAACTGTTATTACT